ATGTGTTCTGTCTGTATAACAAGAAGGCTAAGCTCTATACTGTTCTATACTGTGGTCAAGGTTAACCGACACCAAGGTGTTTTATTGAGCGTTCCCTCTGTAGTCTTACTGACCTAGGTTGGCTCTCACAACGTCTGGCTGCACCAGGCCTGAAGAATCTCAGTTATGTCGTCTTTGTTTTTGAAGCTCACAGCCACCAGGAGCGAAGGCTTAACGATAGTGAGATCTAACGGACGAGATAGTCTGGACACGATACCTATCTTACCTTTGTGAAGTTATTTATGAGGAGGAGTTACGTCGCTATGATTTAGCCCTTATACAGCAAAGCTTGGCTGATGTGATACACTTTCCCGGGATTGCACTGTAATTTTCAAACTGTTTTTTACCCAAGGCTTCCCCCACTTTCTAGCGAGTTACCCTCTGACTCTGGAACACTAGAAAAACTAGCGAGAGTTTTGCAATATCTTTGTCCCCTAATTTTAGTCTTTTGGTGGCTTCGCATTTATTTCCTCTCTCAACGCTCACCCAATTCTCCTTATTGATAACAGATACTAGGATGTTATCAAAAGTCTGTAATTTCATTGGTGTACAAGCCCGTGTTGTGGCTCCCGTAGTCACGTGTTGGATGAACCTGTTTGATTATTTAAATATACTAAAGGGGATTTATGCAGTTGCCTTCACCGGAGTCTTTTGTTTTCCTATTGTTAGATCTCCTGGTGTGTGTTTTTGATACTGTGGGAATACGTGCCAGAAACATGAACAGGGGTGACGTGGTGGTAGTTCGGTGGTTTATTTCCGATTTGACAGAGTGATGTTGTTAACGAAATGTAGAAACCCAGCATCTTCATTTTTGGACTCCATTCGCGTTAGAGAACAGTGTAATAAAATAATTTAAATACGATAATGAATTTTGGATAAGCATACTTCACACAATTGTTGCCACAGACAAACACGGAGAGAAACAAAGCGGAGGAGCAGAGCGGAGGAGGCAAACATGCTAACTCGCTGTATTACTCATTACAAGCTGCAATATAGCCCAAATCAGAAGACACATAGTGTGGCAAAGAGACAAGTATTGTATATAATAATGAGTTGCAGACAAACACACAAGTACACACAAGGTGCATGAGCGTAGAAGACTCGTTTGTGCCGTTCTTCACAACTTATGAAAACAATAGTTACGGTGATAGTAAAGATGACTGAACAGGCACATCCTGTTCGAGCCATTCAGGTCTGTTCAGAAGTCGAAATCGGCCATGCAAGTATCAATACTGGACACTGCATACTAGTACTAGACAACACAAATTAACATAAACCCATGGTACCATCTAGATACTGCAGTACCACAGTGGTGGTGAACCTAGCCACTACAGAGGTAACATTTAGACGCTGGGTCGTTGGTTATGACGAGCGACGAGCATGCCATGCAATCATAGCTTCGTGTTATCCCTCCTCAGTAGTCTGTGTCACTGGCAGATTGAGACGTCACTTCATTTTTCATAGCCAGTCGTAATAGGTGTAGGAACCTAGGTAGGATTGTGATTGTGATTATTTTGTTTCAGTGTTTCATTTGAGTGATACACGTTGCACATATTGCTCTGAGATCCTTTATCTGGTGCAGTCTTGCGCTTTCTTATAACCGTACTCCAAGGAACTGAGATTTTCGACATATTATTAATCTCCGATTTAAAACCTCCGCCTCTGGTAGTCGTTCTTGTTGTTAAAGTTTAAGTACTGATGGCGACACGATTACTATGCATGCTACTCAATGACCACAAGCAAAAAATGAGACAATTTAAGAGGAAGTGTTAATTGCTTCATTTCGATAGTGGAATGGTGGGCACATCCTCTTATTAATGAGAGATCAACGAGGCCACGTCAAACTCAGATATCTTTGAGGCGAGCTAACAGAAACTGGTCGATTTCGTTGAGCTTGCTTCCAACCTCTGCGGCACGGTTGTGGATTTATGGTGATGCACACCAGGCCTTTGTTTTACCACTTAACTGAACTAATTCTAGTCACTTTGGTAGTTAACCGTGGGTTGATATATCTTGCAGTCTGAATGAGTGGGTCTATCTTAGGGTAGTAGGGTTTATGGAGTCATTAGTCATCACATTATCCAGCAGAAGATTGAATGGTTGTGGTGTGAAAAATAATAAAAAGAAAATTCCAGTTCTAAGATGACAATGGGCGAGATTGAAGTGAGTCATCGGTATGTGGTGATGATAGCAATTAGTTACGAGAAACGCATCAGGCTCAGATTATCCGAGTGGTAGATGGCAATCTTTGGGTGAGTACTTGGTTTACAAGTCCCTTCTTAGAACTATCCACTAAGGATGCTGAGTTCACTTTGCTAAGGGAGCATTGAAGATGAAGGCGAGTTGTAATGAGAAAAAGTGAGATCATGCCTACGTTTTAGGGTTGGCAACCTCATCCCTCAGAAAACAACATTGCTAAAAAATGATCACCACAATAGACAATTTCAACAATTTAAACTCTGTCCTGGGAGTCGAAGAAAGAGTTATGATGCCTCATGATGAAAGCGAAAATTCTTAGGAATTCACGAGGTCAATACCTCTTCTAACAACCAAACCAACAAATCTTATGGGTACATGGAAAGTTCAGACAATGTAGGAGCTTAAAAGGACCAGCCAAATATCAACGGAAATGAGGAGATACAAACTGGCAGTGTTTGGAATTGGCGAAACTCATTATACCCATGTTGGACAGAAAAAGCTAGATACGGGAGAGATGGTGCTGTACTCCAGTCACGGAGAGGAAAATGTTCCACATACTCAGGAAGTTGCTCTAATACTGTTCAAGGAAGCACGTAATGCATTTATAGGATGGGAATTTAACGCACCCAAGATCACCGAAGCATCCTTCAAAACAAGGAAGAAGGAAATCACGATGAATGTGGTCCAGCGTTATGCACTCACCAAAGATACCAACCACGAAAATAGAGATCAGTTATGTGAGAGACTGAAATCAGTAATAGTGAAGTTCTCAGGAAAGGATCTCACCATCTTGATAGGAGACCTAAACACCAAAGTTGAAATGGCCAACGGTTATGAAGATATCATGAAATGACATGGACTGGGAGAAAAGAACAAGAGTGATGAGAGGTTCAAAAATCTATATGCATTCAACAAATTGATTATAGGTGACACAATATGCTCAAAAAATCGGACACACAAAGCCACATGGGTCTCGCCGGATCACATTACATAGAACAGGATTGATCATATTTGCATCAATAAGAGATTCATAAAGTCAGCGGAAGATGCGAGATCCAGGAGAGGAGCTTGCAATTAAGAGGAGTCTCACTAGACTTCAAAGTTGAGCCAATAACAATGAACGTGTTTTAAACACTTCAAAGTGTAAAATACTCCATCTGAGGCATGTTGCAGACTATGCGAACAGCTTAAGTAACTCCATTCTAAAGATATCCCAAGCTAAAATAATCTAGAAATTTTGGTACCTTGTGATCTGAAGTCTTACGCTGAGATAAAAATACCTTTAAAGAGAGCCTTGCACTAATATCGTCGAGGCAAACTTTTCGCCAGTTTAACTGTAGAATTCTCCACTCAATCTTCAACAGTTTTATTTTTCCTCATTTAGAGTACGGAAGTATAGTATTTCTCGCCTCGCTTCAAAAGGATAAAGATAGATTGAAACGTATCAAACAGTAAGCCATGGAATCAGTTTGGTTACTCAAATTCGAATCCTATGAAAGGCGCTTCAAATCACTGAGTTTCGACCCACTGGAGCATAGACATCTTAGAAAATAACTTTTAATGACTTATAACATTCTAAACAATGCTCGGCATCCCATTAAATATATGCTTGAGCTCTGTCCCAACACAAAACCCATTGGCAACACCCAGAGACTAGAGGTGACATAACAGAACCGACTGTAGGTACTACTTCTACGCTATACGAGTTGTCAAATCCTGGAATTTTCTGTCGGCTGACTTAGTCCAAGCGACTTCCCATGAGTTCTCCAAAGGAAAACTTGACACATTCTTCTGGATTGAAGAAAGTAGTTAACGATAATTTATTATTTCTCTTTTCATTGTTACATATACCTAGGCTCCTATCCTAAGGCACTGATGATACACTGCTAATAAATGAGATAACCCGTTAAATGAAAGCTTTCATTCCGTCCTCAACCATTGGGACCATTTGGACTAGGAAATAGTATTAGTATAGTACAGTCATAAAAGGTCTACAGTCACATGTATCATATTGCTCACGGTTGCCTTCATTCTAATTCATTATCATGATATGTCAGTACCAAACAGCGGTCAATAATGTGTCCCCTACTATTAGGACACGAAAGAGCAAATAGAAATGTGCTCAACGTTTTCGTTGTTGAAATCTATAGATTTTGGGATTCCGTACTAAAAGTAATAGTAATATTTCCTACCACTGACACTTTCAAAAGATGTTTCTATGGCTAGTATTGTTCCAACGGTACTTTAGGAGATTAGGTATTCTTCCCTAATCACTTCTCTTATAAACTTGTGGATGGCGTCGAGTCGCGATCGACAATTATCACCATTACAGAAAAATGACGTGACAGATATCGACTTATATCCCTTGGTAGGCTAAAAATGAGAAGGCTGTTGACAGTTGAAACAAGATATATTTGTTGGCGATCTCATAGTATCGAAAAAATACCCAGACGTGCCAAAATTTACAGGCGGAACTGCCAGGTGTACTTGAGTTCGTGCAAGGTAACAGGCAACGGAAGAAAAATGTCTTTGGTTTAGTTAAACAAACAAATAAAGTAAAACAATCACTGATACAATTGGTTATAATAGTAATTGTTTCCATTATAATAATCGCGTTCTCGTCACAAAGGTAGGTCACTACAAACTGTTTTCATAGGATTTATAAAAAACTTCAAAACAGAGATATGTAGACAACACAAAATCAGATTTCAAGGTACAAACAATTACCCTACTTATGTACTTCTATACTTATGGGTTTTGAGCATTATGTACACTTCAAGGTTGACTTGCTTGTGTCACTGAACTTTCAAACGGTAACACGTTCAAATTCAGCTCCACATACCGGGATTTTACACCTATCGAGATGTAGTCTTTTTTGAGATTGAACTACAAGGTGTTACTCTGACAAAGATTTCCGCGTGACACTTTCACTTTTAAGATATGACGATGCATTAATCCCCAAAACAAGTTGTGATTTTGAAGTTTTTGTTGCATTTCCCCGAAATTTTGTATTACAGCTTCTCCAAAGTTGGGAAATTAGATTTACTTGAAGTAATCAATGTGATAGCATTTTTATCCGTTGGTGACCAATTTCATCAGCCTTATGGACTAGATAAATCAGACACGTCTTTAGATTGACTGAAAAGTGTATAATTTCTGAGATAAAAGGTGTGGTTTTTAATGAACGAGGATCATCTCAAATTTGGATAGAGTGTGTTTCAATGTAATAAAGTAACAATGGGTTGATATCAAGGTAACTCCCTGTCCTGATATTTTCCTATAAGAACGAGATGGTCCTCCTATTGAAGCTATATATATATATATATACTTTTCTGTACTGTAAAGGCTTTTAATGATATTTAAAAACAATCTAGGTTCGTAAAAGTAGGTGCTCTTAACAACCCTCACAATCCCATCCTAATCAGAGTTACGAATAGCGAAGCTCTCGAGATAATGGAAAGTAAGCGTAAATCCATCGGAAATTTATGTTCAATCCTATGCCGTAAAACATATATTTCACTTATCCAGACAGTTGTACTGGCGAATCATGAAATCTAGTACTTCTTAAAGTAAATGGTTATGACTGATCGAGTTTATGGTCTAGTTCTATGTTTATATTCACCAATCCATTTCATATCTGATGTGCATTCAGTCCCGAATACCTGCCTATATTTTTGTACAGTAGGTTTATTGTCTTTTCTAGCGGATTTAGTCCAAAGATGACCCACTGAAAAACTCCTCTCCAATCAAATTGCTGCCTAATAATGTCTGTTGGGATCGTTTATGGTGATCAGTATAGACAGCTGTGTTGCAGCTCACCTAAGTTTGGCGACAGATACGCCTTGGTCATGGATTTGATCAATGCATACAAACTCATTCCAGAACTTTCTCGTGTGCCTCCCCTACAGTGGAATTCACCTGGTCCTATGTATGAAGTAGTGACTGCCTTTCACTCGTAAGTATTTCCGTAGATTATTAAAGTGGTTTCGTTTACTAATCAATCACTTTAATAAGTAAAATAAGTCAAATTCAGTACTCGGATCATAATTACTTAGCTACTTTCTTTTGTTGTCTACTAAATTTAAAAATAGTAATTGCTAGTTTCTATGTACATTAAAAACGTTGTTGAATTAAAAGTATCTTGTGTGTTTTACAGCCAGTTTGTACCTACTATGATGTAGTTAAACTTATCTGTAGCGGCAACTCAGTCGATTTGTGGTAATATGCCGTTATAGTGAGATAAACTAGAAAATGTTCGAACTGAAAGCAATGACTGTTGTAGTGCGAATAAATAATTTAATGAGATCGGATTTCCTTCCATGGGCACCGTATCTAATACATGATAAAAATCTGTAGACGAGGGCAAGTAGATGTACATAAAAATTTTATTCCTTTAGGTTTTTGGTTCCAAATTACCGTGAATATAGTTCTAGTAGTATCCCTTTGCTTGGTTCACAGTTTAGCCTCTTTCCACATCAATAGACATAAGTCTCTACTAAATTATTCGGTAGAGAGCGAAATATTCTGAAAATTCTATCCTATACCGATCAATGAAATACAGATCATGAGAAGAACAAAATTATGTTTCTACCTATATAAAAGCCCCAGCAATCAGCGTATGGTATATAGAGATAGTAATACAGAGATAATCCAGTTATCACAAAGTTTACCTTAAAAAACTAATAGTATTTCCTAAAACAGAATCTAAATGTACTATATTCGGAATATTAGATTTTATTTTCATACAAATCACACATGTTTTCATAGAGCCTTTTAATTCTTCATTGTTCATGACGTCGATCTTATTTTCTATTTTCAGTACAGAATATGTTGATGCTCTTAAAAAATTACAAATGCTTCACTGTGAGGAGAAAGAATTGACTGCTGATGACGAGTTACTTATGGATTCATTTAGTCTGAATTATGACTGCCCTGGTTTTCCTAGTGTTTTCGATTATTCGTTAGCTGCTGTTCAAGGTAGTTTAGCTGCAGCTAATGCTTTAATCTGTCGTCATTGTGAGGTAAAACTCTTTACACTTCATCTTCAGGGTAAAAGTATCGATTGAGTATTATAATACTTAGTTTTTTTTTCATTCCTGTTTCTTATTAAACACAACGTCGTGTTTCTATTGTTGTTGTTTGTGTTCCACTTCTGATTTAGCCAATAACTTAAGTGAAATAAGTTGGGTTTTTTTTAATTATAAAGTGAAGTCTAAATCCCAGAAGAAATTTTCGTCAAAAAACAACAGTCATTGTTATAAAATACTTTTTATGAAAAATTGTTTGCTATTTTTGGGTAATAAGGTGTTTTATTCCTTCCCCTTCGTGTAAGATCGACTTTATCACAAATACGTATTCTCAGAAAGCCGAAAAGTAGTCGTTTCTATTTTGTAGTGATTGTTCAAAGCGATAATCATGATTCATAGAAAAGTATTTTCAATACCTTTTTGAATAATAACAACAATGCATTAATCTGAGTCTTGATTTTTGTGTACTAACAGAAAACTGTGTAATGTAGTAAAATATACATCTTCATATATTTTTAAGTTTGTTTGACCCTTTGTTTTGCTTCTTACCACTGTAAAATACGTTTTAGTTTTTTTAGCGTTGCAAAACCCAAACTATATCAAAGCTTTATTACGAACTACTACAATTCATTTGAACAAATAACTGGGTATTTTGTAAATTAGAAAGTGCAATATCTTACATGTTTCTAATTACTCTATCGTTTGGCATAACCTCCCTAAATTTTTCTGTGGTCTCTCTTAAAATCTCAATTCCTAATACAATTATGTAAACAAAGAGTTTGTCCTGAAAATCAGAAGTTTGAGTTGGGCTCTAAAAATAAAAAAAGTTAACCAGTGGAAATCGTATAAATAGTCTTTGGAATGTATGTTTAAGATCCTTTGAAATGATGGTGTAGCTTTTAGAGCTCTTGACTTGCAAGTAGTAACCTCCTTATTTTTATTATGATTGGTTGAGGTTCCAGGTTCAAACTCCACCCTACTTCGTTTGGATAACTACTTAACCTAACACAAAATGTGTGGTTTAATGCCGATGATATAAACTTATTTGGTGAGTTTCATTTTATTATTACTTGTGTAGCTCATATATATCTGGTGCCCCCTTGTACCAATATTTATGTGTTTAAATACATAAATAAAATAATGTATAGCTATTTCATTATACCCATTAATTACTTACTGCATCACTCTAGTATATATTTCACCCCACTAGTCTTTTTAAAATCGCTATTTTTATGCCCAACTTTAGGTCGTTATCAACTGGGGCGGTGGGTGGCATCATGCCAAAAGAAGTGAAGCTTCTGGATTTTGCTATTTAAATGATGTCGTCTTGGCCATCCATCGACTGGTCTCATCAACCCCACCAGAAATTTCACCCAACAGACAAACACGAGTATTGTATATTGACCTTGATCTCCATCATGGTGATGGAGTAGAAGAAGCTTTCTGGTATAGTCCTCGTGTAGTTACGTTCTCTGTACATCATGCCTCTCCTGGTTTCTTTCCCGGTACAGGCACCTGGAATATGGTCGACAATGATAAATTACCGATTTTCCTAAATGGCGCTGGTCGTGGCAGGTTCTCAGCATTCAATTTGCCACTAGGTAGTTTTGTATTTTATTTAGGAGCTTTCCTACTCTCTCTACACCTTCATTTCTCGGCAGTTATTTAATAACATGTGTGTCGACGAAACAAAATAGTAACTATTGCAACACAGAGCTCTAGTATTACCTTTTTCTAATTCTTTATCCTGGAAGTGCGTGTTCTTGTTCCCCCTTTCTTTTGACACTTTCTAAACGAGTTGCTAACGTAGTGTCTTTCTAATTGTTCGTTCTTAAAGTGAGCAATCACCTACTTATATTATTGTTTATTGTTAGACAACAGTCTGAATATGAACAACAATTTACTTTACTGTCTCGCTTTGAAATAAGCCTAATAAAATTAATAATACTTTGATTCTGCTTTAAAAAATGAAGACCTATATAACTGATAATAAAAAATGTCATCACTTTGAAACAACTTGTTATTATATCGCGAAAATACACTATCCAGAACTTCTTACATTTTATATTTAACAAAAAGATATTAAATTCGATAATACCGAGTGCTGACTTTTATACTCATAGTTTACGAGTTTAATGACCCATGGTTTCAGAATCTTCTAGTATTTATTTTCTTTTAAAAAATTAATTTTTAATCAAGCCCTTTTCTTATTCAAACTAACTACTCCTTACTGAGATTGACATGTCAAAATACAAATATGCATTTTTTATTAACAGATATGTGGCAAGTGTGAATAGCATGATAAAAGTGTTGGATCGTAAACTGGTATTAGATTTTAACAATATGTTAAACATTTTGAACTATTTCATCATTACTATGTCGTGTGTCTTTCTAGTTGCTACTATTCAATAAAATACAAAGTGGCCCACCGACGATACTGAAGAAACAAGAAATTTTAGGTCCCGACTCAATTGTCGTGCTCGTTACGTGCCTCTTTTAAGTTCGAACAGCTCATTGATAACGTTGTATACTGTAAAACCGACTGACCCTGGTTCAAACCCTCCAGTCGGCATCAACTCGACATTAAAGATGTACCTTGCTGGTGAGTTCCAAATGTCCTTAAACCTATCTCCAGGGTCTCCTGTCGACTACCTCAAACCACCTAACATTTCATGATGGTTACTCATCTCATCACTGCTATTTTCTTTTTGTAGGGAAACATTATGATTATATTTTATGGTGAAAGTTAAATACCTACTTATAAAACTTGCATTATATAAATTTCATAGAAAGTCATAAGTAAAGTGAGGTTGTGATGTGTTGTTACAGGTGTGAGTCATTTACAAAATATTTCTTTGTTTTTTTCGGACATATTTCATAATAGGTTTGGAGATACTATCACATGATGTTTCGGACAGAAATATTTTAGTTAGAGTTTTGAGTCTCTCTTTTGACTTTTAGGTAGTACCATTAGCCATAATATAGAACGTTCACTTCAAATTCAAATAAATAAACTTAGTGGTTGAGTTGTAAACAGTTGTAAATACTGTTATTGCTATGAGGCTTTCTAACATTTCACTGCTTGGGTATGGGTAAATTTTAAATAATTGGAGCTAAACATTATATACCTTAATAAATTGATTTCCTTTTAGGTAAATAATTGAATAAAATTTTATCCAAAGCTATTTATTTCTATGTTTACTTATTTATTTCTGCTTACAGAAGAAGGCATCAATGATTTGGACTGGTCAAATGCTATTGGCCCTATACTTGATTCTCTTAACATAGTTATTCAACCAAGTTATGTTGTAGTTCAATGCGGAGCCGATTGTTTAGCTACTGATCCACATCGAATATTTCGTTTAACTAATTTTTACCCTAATTTAAATTTAGATTCAGATTGCGACTCAGAATGTAGTTTAAGTGGCTATTTGTACGCTATTAAGAAAATTTTATCATGGAAAGTTCCAATTTTAATACTTGGAGGTGGTGGCTATAATTTTCCGGATGCAGCCAGACTATGGACAAGAGTTACAGCTCTGACAATTGAAGAAGTTAAGGGTAAAAAGTATGTTGCTTTCAAAATTTCCTAGTTCTTAATCTATTTTCTGGTAATGATACGTTGTCTCGTTTTAGAGAATTGATAGGTAACTCACTAGGTTTATCATCGAAGACTTAGTTCCAACTAATCTGTCTTCTTGATTCTGTATTATACAGAATTTTGTAAATTTATTACAAGTTTGGTATGTTCAAACTCAGTTGTCCTTTCAACTTGATGTTTCATTATCCAGGTGCGTGCCATCACCAATCTGACTTAACAGAACAGCGAAGTAATTTGATTTTTTACCGGTATTTGTTATTAAAATGTCTATCTTATTATGGCGTGAAGCTAGTGAATTGTTGAGTTTCTTTTAACACGTAATCATAATATAAGATACCACTGATATTTATTTGTCTTAATTAGAAAGCTTAAAATTACGTAGGCACTTTAGTACACTTGTACGAAACAGTGCTTATCGTTAACATGGAATTTATTCAATTTCTTATTGTCCTTATGGTAAATATTCAAAGCTCGGATTTCAAATATTTTTACATTTCTATCACTTCCCAAATTTTCATTAATTCTAGTCAAAATTTATGATATCAGTCTAGACGCCTAATTTGATACGACAACCTTATAATGTAGCCTTTTTCAAGGAAAACCATATATAAATTAATGGAAAATCTCTTTCCATTCAAAATACGTGCTATACTGAGGTTGTAGCCTTATTTCAATTTACCAACTTTATTTTAGTCTTTAGTTACATTTCAATTTTTAATTTAAGTAAAACCAAGACCATCGTGAACGGTATGACTAACAGTTACTGATTATTACTATACCTTAAAGTTATAAATGATTCTTTTTCGCGTCTCTTTATTATTACAGGATGACACTTCCCCCTGAAATTCCAGAACACTCCTACTTCTCTCGTTATGGTCCGGATTTCGAACTAGACATTGATTATTTTCCACACAAAAGTCATAATAAAACACTTGACAGTATACAGAAACATCATCGTCGTATACTTGAACAGTTACGTAATTATGCTGATTTAAATAAAATGATTTATGACTATGATAAAGTGTATCAATTATATAATTTAACTGGTATGTAAAATGTAGCTATAAATTTATCCTCTGTTTACCATGGATTTATTGTTCCAAACGTTTTTAGTGATGCGATTCTACAGTTTTATCTCTGTAAAGAAAAATACATATATGCTGCTATCATTGTTGTGTTTGCATTTTGTCTTTAATAGGTCTAGAAAAAAATCAAAGATATTTTCAGATTACAAATGTAAACATAGGCGATAGTCCTTGAAAAATGAAAATATTAAAGGTAGACGTAACTGTGCAATGGACTTTCCTCTGTTTTCATGTTTACAATTAAAATGTTTAAAACCAGACATGCGGAACGTCTACTACTACAGTGATAATACCAAGCGTAAAGCTAATTGATACGAACATGTAGTGGCTTTGCTTCGTTAATCAATCACCTTTGTAACCATTATTATATAAATCCCAACGGTGTTTGAAATCAGAAGGCAATAAGAAGCTGTGATTACGGTTTATTAGCAGATAGCACAGATCACAAAGCTATAAGCACTCCAAGCGAATTTGAAGCAGAGAGATGAGTATGCATGTGCGAGCAAATACAGAGGCAAATTTATAGTCAAATCGCATAAGGTCACAGCAAGGTAAAGCAAAGGTTAATAATAGGATTCGCGTACATATATACATAAAGAGTAAGAATCATTGAGCGATATTTAAACTATCAACATTTTGGCTAGAGTCTGTCATGTCGTCAAGCGTACACGTTTATACAGATATGATAGTGATCATAATAGTACAAAGAAATATGCAAACTGTTACTGTTTGAATAGCATTGTCTGTTAACCAAAATTAACTATAATCGAAATTGATTGTAGGAGAGTTGCTATAAATATTTGGGAACCACTTAATTCAAATTGTGCCAGATATCAATCAAATCAAGAAAACCGAACCTTATCTATCAGTGAACTATTCTGTCTAATTGTGACCCAACTTTGGCATTCACATACTGTTCTTAACCGCCACAGTTTAGCACTCGCGTCTTATCGTTTGTCTTCATCCAAATAAGTTTAATTTACAACTTGATAATCTAGAGTTGTATACATTTAAACAGGTTGAATATGGATGAAAGAAGAGTACGACTTAATATAGATTGTGTTAGATTTTATAGTTATGAAGATGGTTTATCATCAAAAACTGGTTGAAAAACTGTTAATAGTCAAAATTAGTTGTTTAGTTGGTTAATCTCAATGTGTAAATCTTAAACAATATGCAAGTAATATTCACTTGGTGTTGTTTACTTGTATCTTCCCATCGTTATTTAGGACTGCGATTGATCAGTCTCTTATATATATGTCAACAAGAGACTGATCAATCGCAGTCCTAAATAACGATGGGAAGATACAAGTAAACAACAACGAGTGAATATAACTTCACTCCATTGCACAAGCAGGTGGCTATCAGGACTCAGTAGCTAAGTGGATAACTCAATGGCGTTTGAGGTGAACGGTACTGGGTTCGAGTCCCAGAGTGAATATCAACACTGAGATGCAGGTACATCCAGATGAAGAGTCCCAAATTAGACGAAACGCGAGTCCTGGATCCCACTGCTAGCCACTATCCATCTTTGCGTATAATATGCAAGTAAATTCATTATCAAAACTCAGAAATATTTCTTTATCGTGATACTTCTTATCGATCGACTCCAAGTGTTTGAGTATCAAATCGTATAAATATGAAAAACCTCACCACATTGGTACTAATAACCTGTGAGTCGTGTAGCATTACAGTGACAGCATATATGATTTATCGACCACCGCAAAGTAAACAGTTTTGTCGTGTAAATTGACGATTTCAATTCATTATTTTTGAAATTTAAGACAGTTTGTTGGTTTCCATCACTAAAGAGAAGCTGCTCAACGTCACCTATTCACATACCCTTTTTTACGGGAGATTTAATAATAAAAGGGTCTTCAATCTAAAGTGAATGTGGTAAGATTCGAATATGATGCTTTGTGGTTAAAAGTCAAGTGCTCTAACCATTGATCAAAGTTGAATTAGTCTGAAGATTTTCGTTTTCTTGATAAGCTACCACCTAGTAGTATTAATGATCTACATACATTTACTTTTGAACAACTTGATACTAATACATGTGAATAAATCAACAAAATACCGTTCATCCCAGTTGCATTTATCTCTATTGTGCGTCATTGGCATCCAAAAAATTTCGAATAAAAACATATCAAGATCTTCTCTTACATTTTTTCTAGTACTGAACAGGGTTTCCACAGTTATAAATAAAGGCTGTGTTATTATATAACATACATAACACAAAAAAACAGAACAGTGATGATATTTTATTGTAAATCAGTGGAAACAATCATTGTTAATGAAGTATTTCGAAATAAAGGGTATATCATTTCTTAACAATAGCCTCTACAGTAACAGAATGTGAAATTTAATGGGAAAATGTTTACTGACATAGAATGACTTGTGATAATTAAGAGTATTGGAATTATAGTATCAATTAGTAATCCCAGAAATAACGCAATTCGGTCAAGAAGTACTAGATGAGCACGAACGGATGTATTGTATTTGGAGTTCGAAATCAAGTACAAAGGAATCATTGGTTAATATAAATACCATGTGACTGCATAGGTCAAATAGATTGTTAATAAAAATTAGTAGTGGCTAGCAGAAAAGCCGTCAATAATATTTTCCTAATAATTTTATCGTTTTATATTCCAAACTATATTTATCAGGAAATTGTTTATTATTATAGTTACAGAAGTTGAATTGAATCAAATTGCTTATCACATTATCATGTCTTTACATAATTAAAATAAGTCATGAAAGTCTATTCTTTGTTAAAGGATGACTGGCATTAAATAAAACTAGCTTAGCCAGTAAGTATACACCTACATAATATTATAGAAACCAAACATTGGTATCTGGATATTTAAACTGACCTAACAATCTTTAAGATGAACTCGTTAAAAAGGACTCGTTCACAAAAGCTGCTAGTTTTATTATAAACTAATTTTCATCACAAACTAATATAACGTGTGAAACCGTGTTTAAAAATATCAGAATTATTACTGATCTCATTGGATGATCACCGCAGACATCACAGATCAACTGAATTTAGAAATGTAGTTGTTTTAATTTTGATTAATTTACAAGTATTGTGTTCATTTGGTTTCGTATCGTATCAAGGCTTGCTGAAGACTAACTTCAGATGGAACATTTTCCGTAAAATTAAAATCCTTATAGTAACTGTAATAATTTAATATATCCTAGATTTCACATGCTCCATAAATATATCCATTGATTTAAGAAATAAAGTTCAAATATCGTATTGGTATGTGATTTTTAGAAAACACCAATCAATATTATTATCGAGCAAGAACACTTTTGATCACAACATCTATCAAATAGCTAAATGAAGGGCCAGGAAATATGACATCATATAAATATCTATGAGCAGTGTAAAGTTAGATAAACGACTTCTAGACGTTTCATTACTTCATTTACACTTCAATATTTGACAATGATTTGAGCTAAGAACTATAACACACGTCCCTCAAGAAATTATATAACTAGTCGATACGAACTATAGTTCGTTTTCTTTCCTACATATATATATATATATATATATATATATATATATATATATATTTATATAGTAATATGACAAATGATTTATTAAAGTCTGAAACGAAAAATTTAAAAAATAGTATTTTATAAAAATCTAGCTTGGGACTTTTACCTAATGCAAAATGTCTGAAAGAGACTGCTACAATGATTATTATTTTGAATATTTTTTTCTGGAATGTTAGGATGGTTAGTTTTAAATAAACCATATCTTCGAATGGGATACCGTCAAAATTCAAAATAATCGACTTCGTTTTCTTTTGGAAATGTTTGATTTGTGTTTAACTACTACATAGAGTTTAAGTAGTGTAAATGCATAGAAGCAAATTTATCTTAGGAACAACTGACCATTCGATTACCTTTGGATTATGTTCCCGTATGAAAATTTACGGAAACATTTTAAAAGTAATTACTTCGACTCAATAATATCCTCTGATAATGACAGCACACTAATTGAAACCCACTTAGTTTCTATAATATTGTGACCATTCTCATACAGGGAACTAAACAAATCACTTGTCTGTAGGTATCATTACCAAGTCTTGATTTGATAATTTTGAATAAATTGAGCATTGGGTAGATTGTTATAAAAAAAATTATATATTTGTAATATCCCAATGAGTAGAAAAATTACTTGACTGAAATTTTCTATAAAACGAATAATAACAGCGGTATGTGTTCTGAGGAGTAGAATGATATTTTTATAGTACAATACCTATATACCTATACCTATATATATATATATATATATATATATATATATATATATACGCAATTTCTTAACAAGGTCTGACTGAATTACTACAATTGAATAACATATGGAACTCAAAACGACTACCAACCTATATCAAAGTCACAATCTTCAATACGAACATCAAGACCGTTCTACTGTACGGAGCTGGAACTTGAAGAACTACTACAACCATCATCAAGAAGGTACAAGTATTTATAAACATTTATCTACGCAAGGTACTCAGTCTCTGTTGAATGGATACTATCAACAACAGCCCACTGTGGGAGAGAACGAACCAGGTCTCGGCTGAGGAGGAAATTAGGAATAGATGTTGGAGGCGGATAGAATGTGCATTACGGAAATCAACAAAGTGTATCACAAGGCAAGCGCTGACTTGAAATCCTGAATAGAAAATGAAAAGTGGAAGACCAAGGAACGCACTGTGTCGGCAATTGGAATCAGATATGAAAATGATGAATAGCAACTGTAAACAACTGGAAAGTATTGACCAAAATAAAGTTGGATGGAGAATACAAGTGAGTGGCCTATAGTTCATCATGAGGATTAACAGGCATTAGTAAGTAATTAAATAATCCTAGAAATTTAATTATCAATGTTGTTTGTTCTCCTACATTATTCCTCAATATAAATTGAAAAGTTAACATGACTTGTCTCTTACTATTAAGCCATTCAAACAATCTAAAATGTTTAATGTTTTAACAGTAACATCATTTGGGGGGCTTTTTGTGGAGATTTTAGTAATTTTATATAGTTGGAATAATGATTCAATTA